GGGGGAGGGGAGGTTAAGGGGAGGGGAGAAGAGAAGCACAAACTAGAAACCAACGTTGTGACTCTGTCACACACATTCCCCCCCCTCACAGATGTTACAGGCCTCATGAGTTTGGAGAGTGACTGGATTTACAGGGCACCATGGCCGACTTGTCATTAGGAGGTGGGGTCTGGTGGAGAAGACAGGTCACTGTGTCTCCTGCCTGACTCTGCTAATGCTCTGCTTCCTGGCTGCCATGGTGTGAGCAGCTACCCTCCACCTCACCCCTCTGCCATGCTGGGATCACAGGCATGAGCTACCAGGCCTGGCTCCTTCCTTTAATAGCTTTTTTTTGGAGACAGGGTCTTACTATGTATGTAGTTCAAGCTGGCCTGGAACTCACTCTGTAGCCTAGGCTGGCCTCAAACTCATGGCAATCTTCCTGCTTCAGCCTCCCCAGTGCTGAGATTACAGGTATGTGCCACCACGCCCAGCAATAGCTTTCTTAAAAAAGCTTTATTTTAAAGAACAGTCTTGATGCTGGGGTATTGAAAGGACAGCATGATAGAAATTCAGGATCTGACATCTTTATTTTTTTGGCTTTATGCAAGTTATACCTGATTTATTTCTACTGATAAAGTATTTTTATAGTTTCTTAAACTGGTACAATTTGACAGTCTTCAATAGTAAATAATCGTTTTCTTCAGGAATTGAGAACACAGCAGATCCAGCTATGTGAAATGATTCTAAAGTGAACTAATGGAAGAAATTAGAACCTAAAGATCCTAGAATGAAAAAAAAATTTTTTTAGAGTAGGAAATTTTACTGAGGGAGAGACAGCTCCTGAAAGAAACAGAAGGGGATCCAGAAAGTGGGTTGCCCTTTTGTTGTTGTTTTTTTTGAGACAGGGTCTTGCTATGTAATCCAGCCTGGCCTCGAACTTGCAGTGAGTGATCCTCCTGCCTCAGCCTCCCGAGTGCTGGAATTACACAGAAGGAAAATTTGAAGTTGACATGATTATGTCCACAATTCAAGTGGAGATGAAAGTCCAATTAAAAGGACTGTGGCAGGCAGACAGGATGAATGGATTAAGCAGGGTGGTAGAGTTCCTTTGGTGAGATCTCTAAGGAACCAAAAGCAACAGAGCTGGGGCGTGGTGGCACACGCCTGTAATCCCAGCACTGGGGAGGCTGAGGCAGGAGGATCAGTGTGAGTTCAAGGCCAGCGTGGGCTACATAGTGAGTTCAGGGCCAGCCTGAACTACAAAGGGAGACCCTGCCTCAAAAAACAAAAAGCAGGGCCAGGAATTTAGCTCAGTGGTTCTGCCGCCTGTCTGGCAAGCACAAGGACCCAAGTTGATCCCCAGTACCAAAAAAAACCCAACAACAACAACAAAAAGAAAACAAACAAAAAAACCTAAACAAAGAAAAGCAACAGCAGCTTGGAAGCAGATCTGAGCAAGGATTTCAGCCTGCCCATGCCAGGGTGATTAAGAACACTGTTCCAGCACTCGGGTCTGTTCAAGGGAACCCCTAAGGAGACTGCACCCAAGCCTCCACATCAGTGATCACGGGTGCCTTCACTGATTGCAGGGAGTCGTGAGGACCAAAACCAAAACACTGAATGCTTCTAAATAGAAAATAATGCAATTTAATTTCCACACAACTATTGTTTCAAATGTACTGTATAAGACATGCAAAGAGACTGGATGTGTGTATGCCTGTATACGTGTGTGCGTGTGTGTGTGTGTGTGTGTGTGTATCACCATATATAAAAAATACACCAAAGAAAATTAAGAGAAAGAACGAGAAAGAGAGAGAGGGAGAGACAGACAGAGAGAGAGCGAGCCAGTGAACAAGAGAGACAAAACCCGAGAACACAGATGCATGTAGCAAAAACGGTAAGATGGAGCCTAGAGCCAGGCATGGTAATGCACACCCGTAGTCCCAGTACTTGGGAGGCTGATGATGTAGGAGGATCACTATGAGTTCAAGACCAGCATGAACTACACAGAGACCCTATCCTCAAAAACAAAAACAAAGCAACAATTACAAAAAAGATGGAGGGGCAAGGATTTAGCTCAGTGGCACCTCACGTGCCTCAAAAGCACAAGGTCCTGAGTTCAATCCCTGGTACTGCAAAAAAAAAAAAAAAAGAAGAAGCAGGAAAGAAGTAACAAAGAACGGGACAAGCCGGGGGTGGTAGTGCACACCTGTAATCCCAGCACTCAGCAGGCTGAAGCAGGAGGATCATAATTTAGCCAGATGCTGGGCATCTGGGCAACTTATCGAGATGCTATCTCAAAATAAAAAATAATAAAGGGCTATGGATGGGAGCTTAGTGCAAAGGCCCTGGCTTAAAATTCCCTGTACCACAAACAAAACAAAACAAAACACAACACAACACAAATAGGATCACAAATCTCAACACGCTTAAACCCAAGCACATCACCAAATGCTCGAATTAAAAGGCAAATATTGCTGGGTGCTATGGTGTACATATATAATCCCAGTTGCTCAGAAGGCTAAGGCAGGAGGATGAAAATGCCAGTTGGGGCAACTTAATGAGATCCTGTCTTTTTTTTTTTTTTTTTTGGTATCAGGGATCAAACTCAGGTCCTTGCACCTGCGAGGCAGACAGCAGAACCACTGAGCTACATCCCCAGCCCCGAGATCCTGTCTTTTAAAAAAAAGATGAAGGACTAACAATGTAGGTCAGAGATAAAGTGCCTCTGTATCAGAACCCCAGGACTAGAGGGAAAAAAAGCCAAAGACTGTCAGACTGGATTAAAATAGAAGCGAGATCGAACTACATGCTGTTTAAAAAGACGAGTGTGGTGGCACACACCCATGATCTCAGCACTGGGGAGGCTGAGGCATGAGGGCTGCTGTGAGTTCAAAGCCAGGGTGAAGCCTGTGTCAAAAGACACACTTAGGGCTGGGGATTTAGCTCAGTGGCACCTCGCCTGCCTTGAAAGCGCAAGGTCCTGAGTTTGATCCCTGGTACCAAAAGAAAGAAAGAGAAGAAAAAGAAAAACAACAAAAAAGGACACACTTAAACACCAAAACTTGTGAGATGTAACTTAAGAGGAAAATTTATTGTATTAAATGTATACATTTTATTAAAAGCTGAAAAATCAATGATCTTAGATATAAGGACATAGAAAATTTATCTCTTATAAACCCTTTTTTTTTCGGAACTGGGGATCAAACTCAGGTCCTTGTGCTTGTGAAGCAGGAGGCGGAACCACTGAGCTAAATCCCCGGTCCTCTTATAAACCCTTTCTGAGAAATTACTTGTGAATGCTTCAGCAAAATGGGAGAAAAGCAAGACGAGACAAAATCTGGAAAACAGAGGACTCAACTCAGGATAGCAGCAAAGCGTAGTCACAGGACATGATACAGAGCACTTCATGGAAGGAGGAAGAGGACTGATACGTGCAGGGTGGTCTCTGTCAAGAATGGGGACTGAGAGTATCTGATCTCGCTGAATCGATAGATTGACAAGGCTGAGCTTGAATTTATAATCTTCCTGTCTCAGACTCCCACAGTGCTGGGATTATAGATGTGCACCACCATGCTTGGCAATATTGGGTCTTTTAAAGTTAATTTTCAAGTTTTAGAGAAAGGAAATAAATAATTGTGATTACAGAATGCAACATAAATATTATCAATCTTCGGGGATTTAGCTCAGTGGTTCTGCTGCCTGCCCCACAATCGGAAGGACCTGAGTTTGATCCCCGGTACCAAAAAAACCCCCCAACCAAACAAAGAAAAAAGCCCAAAACAACTCACTCTCAAAGAACAAAAAAACCCCAAAACAAAGATATTATCAATCTTGACACTGTAGAAGTAAAATACAGTCAGCACAGTGGTGTGCACCTTTAATCCCAGCTACTCAGGAAGCTGAGGCAAGAGGATCCCTTGAGCCAGGAATTCCAAGCTGTCTGGGCAACATGGTGAAAGTCCATCTCAAAAGAAAAAAACCCCAAAAAACAAAACATGAGAAAGGGGAGGGGAGGAGAGGGAAGGGAAGGAAAGGAAAAAGAAAACTGACGTCAACAAGTGGAAGAAGTTCAATGGTAGAGTGCATGCTTAGCACTGCAAGACTCTGGGTGCAATCCCCAGCAACACACACACACACACACGCACGCACGCACGCACGCACGCACACGCACACACCCACACACACACACACACACTATAGTTGACTGAAGCTGGGAAACTGAAGAGATAAAAACTAATGAGAAGAGAGAGCTGTCAATGTCCCAAATTCTACAAAGTCGGATGCCTAGAGCTAATGGTCACATAATTGGCAAGTACAGTACTTCAGTTTAGAAGGGTACTCGAGAGATTTACGTTGTATAATGATCAGGAAGAGGGGGTAAGGCAGGAAAGTATAAGCTAGCTATATCATAAAAAGAAGTTAACAGATATTTCTAAAATACTGTATGTATTTAAAATTTTAAAAAAATACTGTATAATTTAAGAAAGAACAATATGGGGGACTAGGAATTTAGTTCAGTGGCGATGTTGGCTGCTTTGTAAGCGCAAGGTCCTGAGTTCGATAAATCCTCAGACTTCCACCACCTGCCTCAAAAGCACAAGGTCCCAAGTTCGAGCCCCAGTACCAGAAAAAGAACAATATGGGTAAATTATTTTTTTAAAAAGCTAAATGAAGGGCCCAGGGATTTAGCTCAGTGGTTTCGCCGCCTGCTGTGCAAGCGCAAGGGCCTGAGTTCAATCCCCGGTACAAAAAAAAAAAAAAAAGCTAAATGGGTTAAAAGAGACTGTATCTAGGAAACAGGACTGGTGGAACTTATGGTTTCATATATTTTTATGACCATTCTGTGATTAACACTTAAAAATTGTGTACTGTAAACACGTAATAATAAAAAAAATTTTTTTAACTTTAAAAAATATGTGCAAAACATTTTTTTCACAGGCCATTAGACAAGTGACCATTTAATACCTCCTTTCCCTTTCAATGGGGGAAGAGAAAAAGGGTTCTTCTTCTTCTTTAAAATTTTATTGGTACATTTTAGGTATACAATATAATGACATTCATCATTGGATATTTATACCGTTACATATATCTAGAAAGGGTTCTTAATTCAGTCATTTCACATGAAATTTAGTAACAAGATGTTCTCATCCAGTTTTCTACTTTAAAAAGTAAAGTATGGGGCTGGGGATTTACTTCAGTGGTGCCACGCCTGCCTGGCAAATGCAAAGTCCTGAGTTTGATTACCGTACCAAAAGAGAAAATAAAATAAAATAAAATTTTAAAAGTATGTATACTTCTGCCCAATTTTATATCTTCTCTTTCTTCTTCTTCTTCTTTCCCCAGGATTCAGGTCTTAATCTAGTCTTTACCACTTCTTACTAGCTGTATTAACTTGTACAAGATTACTAACTCTCTTCAAAAGCATAAAAAAAATGTCTTTTTGGGGACATGGTCTCTCTAGGTAGTTTAGGCTGGCCTTGAACTTGTGGCAATTTTCCTGCCTCAGCCACCTGAGTGCTGAGATTACAGGTGTACACCACTGTGCTGTAAAGTATTTTATTAGTGATATGTAGATAATGCTATTTATCCTCCCAAAGTTAGATACTACATGTAAAGTCAGATACATGGTAAACATTCACTATAAGACAGCTGTAATTATTACTTACATTGGCCACCACTTTTACTTCTTTATACTGTGCTTCATAGAAAATTCCAGCATTCTCCAGTGCTTCTGTTAGTGAGGGTCCATTTTTCACCTGCTTATCTAATCCATTTACAAATTCTTCCAGCTTAGAGCTTGCCTCTTCAAATTCTTTGGAAAACTTCTTCCCTCCTGTTTTATCTAAGACAGGAGAATAACAGAGAAAATGTTTATTTCAAGATAAAAAAGAACAAGTTAAAATTTTACTTTTGAGGAAAATCCCTTTCTGTGATCCTGTTCTTGCTGCCTTAGTGTGCAATATTTTTAGCTTCAAATTTTTACCTTACAGCTTCTCCAAATCAAAAAATAATAAAGTTTAGTAAAATTCTTCAAAAAACAGATTCCTAAAAACAAAAACAAATTTCTTTGAATCTGCTACCGTGAAGTAAGAGTGAATATACTTACAATTAAGATAAAAGAAAGTTGAAACTGGGTGTGGTGGTGCATGTCCACATTTCCAGCACTCTGGGAGGCTGAGACAGGAGGATTACAAGTTTGAGCCCAGTTTCAGCAATTTAACAACTGTCTCAAACTTTTTTAAAAAAGTAAAAAAGGGGGCCAGAGATTTAGCTCAGTGGTTCCCCTGCCTGCCTCAAAAGTGCAAGGTCCTGAGTTTGATCCCTGGTAACCAGAAAAAAAAAAAACAAAAAAGGGTAGGGACGTAGCTCATGGTGAAGGACCTGGGTTCAATCCCTAGTAACACACACACACACAGGTTCAACTAAACAAAGTTTGTTAGGGGTGGCCTACCATGCATGAGACCCTGGCTTTAATATCCAGTACCAAGGGGAAAAAATGTTTTTTGTTTATTTGTTTTTGTTTTTTTGGTACCGGGGATTGAACTCGGGTCCTTGCGCTTGCGCAGCAGGCGGTGAAACCACTGAGCTAAATCCCCGGCCAAAAAAATGTTTTTTGATTAACTACTTCTTTTCTTTACAAAGTTGATGCCACACTGCTGCTTAGGAGTAACAGGATGAGGCTCAATTCTGTTCACTTATACCACACTTTCTGCTTTACAGAAGGTGACAGGATACATCTTTTAAAAGACAAAACTAAGGTTCAGGAAAGTAAAATGATCTCTATGTATATCACACTAAATGCTGTTTTCTACCTGAAACAGATCTCATTCATTCACTCACCCACTCACTCACTCACTCATTCATTCATTCATTTATTCATTGAGACAGGGTCTTGCTTTGTAGTTTGGGTTGGCCCTAAACTCACTATGCAGCCCAGGCTGGCCTCAAACTCATGGTGATCCTCCTGCCTCTGCCTTGGAGTGCTGGGATTATAGGCATGGCCACCACACCCAGCACCTCATTTATTTTTTGGAAAAAAAAAAAAATTTTTTTTTGGTACCAGGATCAAACTCTGGTCCTTACCCTTTTGAGGCAGGTGGCGGAACCACTGAGCTAAATCCCTAGCCCTTTTTTTTTGAGACAAGGTCTCATTAAGTATCCCAGGCTGGCATTGAAGTTCCTGAGATCCTCCTGGGAGTGCTGGATGAAACAGATCTTTAGTAATTTGTTACATATTTCTTTCTTAGTGACTGCTAAAACAAGACTTTTGGATATGGTAGTAAATTCTGGCTTTGCTTCTTATCAACTGTATAACTTGAGTCAGCTATTTATCTCCTTATGAAGCCTTAGATTTCTCCTGTATAAGAATGAGATTTTAGTCAGGTGTGGTGGCACATTCCTGTAATCCCAGCACTCAGGGGGCTGAAGCAGGGAAACAGCTGTGAGTTCTAGGCCAACCTGGGCTACAGAGTGAGCTCAAGGCCAGCCTGGACTATACACAGTGAGATCCTGTCTCAAAAACCAAACAACTCTCCCCTCCACCCCTCCTCAAAAGGTGACATTTTAGTATGCTTATGGGTTGTTGTGAGGATTAGATAACATTTGTTCAATTTAAAGTATGGTGTAGGAAAAACATTGATGCCAAAATGAACCAAACGCCTATTATGTGCTAAGGATTGCTCTAAGTTCTGAGATACACCAGTGAACGAATAAGAATAATTTCTCACTTTTTTTTTTTTTTGGTACTGGGGATTGAACTCGGGTTGAGCCTGCAAGGCAGGCAGCGGAACCACTGAGCTAAATCCCCGGCCCCTCAATTTAAAGTATGGTGTAGGAAAAACATTGATGCCAAAATGAACCAAACGCCTATTATGTGCTAAGGATTGCTCTAAGTTCTGAGATACACCAGTGAACGAATAAGAATAATTTCTCACTTTTTTTTTTTTTTGGTACTGGGGATTGAACTCGGGTCCTCGAGGCTGTGCAGCAGGCGGCGAAACCACTGAGCTAAATCCCCGGCCCAATTTCTCACTTCTTAAAACACACATCCTAGTAAATTATTAGTATGATTAAATATGATTTACAATGTAAGGAAAAGAGAATAACTAGATTTTACAGCACATTATAGTGACTTTATTCAAGAGCACACCTAAATCAACTGACCAGAGATATGAAATCCAGGTTTATTTGTTTTTTTGTTTTTGGTACCAGGGATCGAACTCGGGACCTTGAGCTTGCGCAGAAGGTGCCAGAACCACTGAGCTAAATCCCCGGACCTGAAATCCAGGTTTATATATGACCTAATATACCCAGAAAGTGAAGAGAAAGCTAAGAATTTACTTGTAGAATTTGTATGAATGAAGTCACTATCTGGGGCACAAGAGGTACCTTAGTTCTCTTTATGGGGTAAACTAATCTAATTACCTGAAAGTGATACTCTAAAGAAAAACCTGATTTTGTTCAAAGGATGTTAAGTATTACCTTTTAAGCACTTCAGAGTTTCTGTGCTGCACACATCCACCCTCATAGTTGACAACTGTTTCTCCTTCAATTCTATCTGATCTTCTGAGCGCTTGTAGAGCAACAGTTCTTCAATGAGGGCCTGAGACTGAACACAGACCAGAGTCATATTTCATTTATGAAATTATTCAATCTTTCTCTACCTCTCCATATTAATGAAAAAAGGACTAAAGCCTAATAAAACATGGGAAGGGAAAAAACCCTTCACTTTTCCTCAATCAGGAATATCAATGGTCAGTTCTCTTGTCAAAACTATGTATTTTTTTTTTTTGGTACCGGGGATTGAACTCTGGACCTTGTGCTTGAGAGGCAGGCGGCGGAACCACTGAGCTAAATCGCCAGCCCAAAAACTATATTTTTAGTTATATATTTCCTTAATTATTCAAGGTTAATTTATGAAAACATGTTAAGACAGAAACAAAGGCTCACTTATATAGTCTTTAAATTTTAATTAGATAAACATATATTCTGTTACTCTAAGAAAATTCTAAGTTAGCAGAACTTCAAAGAAAGATGAGCCTTTTTTTTTTTTTTTTGGTGCCAGGGATCGAACTTGGGTCCTTGTGCTTGTGAGAGAGGCAGCAGAACCACTGAGCTAAAACTCCGGCCAAGATGAGCCTTCTTGTTGGTCAAGTTTAACACAAAACTCGGCTGGTAACAGATTCTGAATGCTATTTCTCCTAACACAGAAACAGATAAAACTCTAAGTAACCTAACTCAATCTGGACTCCTTTAGAACATTTCAAGTATGCTTGGAACATAACTGATGTATAACAGTAAAAATAAATCTTACACAGGAAACTAACTCAAAAGGAGTAAATAATGCTTTGCTATATTTAACAAATTCTGTAACTTACTCGAAATTCAGCAACAATTTTAGACTTGAGAGCAGCTTTTGGATTCGTAGATGCTGTTGGAATTAAACAAAAGGTCATTAAGAATACAAACACAAGGGCCGGGAATTTAGCTCAGTGGTTTTGCCGCCTTCTGTGCATGCGCAAGGACCTGAGTTCGTTCCCTGGTACCAAAACAACAACAAAAAAACAAACTATAGTCCTAAGAATACAAACACAAAGAGTTGGCTAAACTCAGGAAAAACTTTAGCTGTATAGTTAAGGGTGTACTCTTTGAACATATGACATGCACATATAAATCATAATATAGTTCCTAGAATAAAGAATGTACTGTGAAATTTAATCACTCCCAAGTATGGTCAATATAAAAATACACTATTTAGATAGGCCTAACCCACTTACCTCCAACAGACCCTTGAAGTCATAAAGTTCTAAACTTACTGGTCTGGAGATACTGAGATAACATGAAGTACTTTCTTTTTCTAGTATGACTGAATTTAAGAGGGTCTCAACACCTCAAAGTAAGAGAGTGCTCAGGAACAGGGCATCCAATTAATCCTGAACACTGGCTGAAGAAAATTATTTACAAATATCAACTCTATTCCCATGTATTTAGCCTTCCATTTCTTTTGTGCTGCCTCAATTCATAGCAAAAACAGGCAAGAAAAGTTCTAAGTAAATTACCACTGTGGATGAACTTTGGCTGAAATGATGACTCTTGTTCCTAAGCATGCAACTTATGACCAAAAGGATGTCAGCAGACTCCCTTAACCGTGACGAGTAACACATGCTTGATGGAGCAAAACCATCCCAAGTGTCTTGGTTCACCTCCCAGTTCTGTCTTTTACTTTGTTCCCTGCACACCTTCAAGCTCTCTCAATATTTCTGTTTGCCCACAGCAGCCTATCACATGCAGTGTTCCACTCCCTTGGTCTCATGCTGGTAAATGTGATAAACACATCAGGAGCTCCAGTTAAAAGAATGAGCTTCTTGCCAAGGTTTGAGGCCCATGTCTAACTTGGTAGAGTGGATCCCCAAATCTCAAAGGTTTCATGGCTCTCACAGAATTGCTTCTTAAGGCCTAGTCTCCTCTTCGGATCTGTTGTTTAATGCCAGCTGCCTCTAACTTCATACATCTTTGAACCTGAGAATTAGCCTGGATACTACCAGGTTTGTTTGTTTTTTTCTTCTTTCAATCCCCAACTACTCTTGAATCTTCACTCAATTTAACCCTTTTTTCTACATTTCCTTTGTTTAATAGTGCCTTTTTAAGAAACAACTTCATGATGATTTGTTTAGCATAAGTCACTGGGAGCTTCCCAGGCCTGGAAAACACAGGCTTGCCCATGGTTTATTGCCAGGTATGATGTCAAACGGTCTAAATTTTCTTCTGCTCCAAAAAGAGGAGGTAATTTTATATTAGTTGAGATTTTTGTTCCTTACTTTGTGATTTCTTCCACTGCTTATTCGGTTGTTTGTTCAGGTTTTCTTTCAGCTGCTTCTGAGTTTTGAAAGTGGTACCTGGAAAACATTTCAGTTTTTGCAATCTGGCATTATGGGAAGCTGTTGTCTGTCCACTTCAGTGCCAAAGTTGTAGCATGAAAAAAAGGCAATCCGAGACTGTGTTGTTTCTTTCTTTCCTTTTCTTTCATTTTTATATATAAAAAAATAGAAACACCTTCTAGATCTAAGAAGCTGTCAAAGATAATTTCTATAATCAATGAAATAACCAATTCTGAAAATAGGGAAAGAAGCTTAAAAATGCCAGTTAACAAATTCAAATGAAGAATTTAACAGCTTCTTAGATGATGTTATTTTAAAAGCAAATTTCTAATCAAATGATGGTCATTGTAGCCGATTATCACCAAACTCTATATGATGACTTAATAATTACATGCATCAAATACAAAGAATTAAATTACTTATAAATAAAACAGGTATACAACTCACTGCAAATCCGAATCAAGAGTCTAATGCCTATCAATATACTTAGCACCAAAGAGCTAAGCGGAACTAAAACTGTAAAAATTCTTCAAGAGTAAGAGGACATTATTTATTAAACACAATCAATGAACAATTTGAAAGAAAGCAAATGCAGGAAAATAATCATATAATACACTTGACTTTTTTGGTCAATAAAAACAAAACTTAACACCCTGCTTCCAAAACCAATTCCATTTAAATTTTTACTTCAAACATTTAATTTTAAAAATATTTAATTTAAAACAGACAGATCCAAAACTTTATTTTTTATTATTACACAAAAGGACTAGATCTGTCTCTCTTTCTCTCTATAAATATTTAATAAAGACTGGTTTAAAATTTTCTTTTAGGAGAGAAAAGACACTTACTCAAAGCTTCTCTCAATGCCATGATCATTTCTTCTGGGTATACATTTCTATCTTCCCAGATTTTAAAGATTCGTTCTATAGACTTCGACACAGACGGGTCCCTGAAGAGAAAAGAAAAAGACAGATTATAAAACTACTGACTTATATCCTAAACTAGAACTTTGAAAAAAAAAGTTATCAACAGGGCTGGGGATTTAGCTCAGTTGTACCGCCACCTGCCTCAAAATCGCAAGGTGCTGAGTTCGATCTCTGGTACCAAAAAAAAAAAAGTTATCAACAAAATTACTATTTCCTAAATTTCTTCTGATTTTTAAAATTTATACTTTTTTGAGGTACTGGGGATGGAACCCAAGGCCTTCACAGTGAGCTACATTACATCCCTACTCCTTTTATTTTGAGACAGAGTCTTGCTAAGTTGCTGAGTTGTCCAGGATAGGCTTGAACTCGTGAGCCTCCTGACTGATTCTGCCAGTTACAGGATTACAGATGTGCACCACCATGCCCAGCTTTGATGTTTATTTCCAAACATGTTTCCCTCAAAAAAACAAAAACATGGTTTGTTTGTTTTTTTTACAATGTCTAAGGCTAAAGAAATCTTAAACACTTCACTCTTTTTTTTTTTTTCTGGTACCAGGGATTGAACTCAAGACCTTGTGCTTGCGAGGCAGGCAGCAGCACCACTGAGCTAAAAACCCGGTCGAAATCTTAAACACTTATTCAACACTTTTATCAATGACAAATATGAGGCTACAGATGACAGATTGAGGTTTTTGTGACAGAAAAGAGGTGGAGAGAGCTAGTCAATGAATGCACAGACACAACCAGCATTCCAAAGGATCTGGCCTGAAAACACCAAAACCCAAAATTATCACAGGAGTACAGGACAAGAAGACTTAGCAATGCTGTTTTCCCTCCTTTTTAAAAAAGGTTTGGTAAAAAAATAATGACGTCTTCTAAATGACTATCACATAATATAAAAACACATGTCCAGAATGAGGGAGCTGAGGGTATTATTTTATTCCGTTTGGTTCACAGATGGGCTTCTGAGTTTGGTTAGGGTTAGCTCACTTTAAAAGCAAAACTGCTGCCATCGTGGCTTTCCCTACCACAGTCCACCCTGCTTCTTCCAGGGTGCACTTTTATCTTACTTTTTCCTCAGCCCAAGCTCACTCTGCAGAGCCAGTTTTTCCCTCATTCTTCACTCTTACTTTTTCAAATAAATTTTGAAAAAAACAAAAAGCAAAATTGTTGTAGGGTGTGGTGGTGTATGCCAGAGGAGGGAGGGAGGGAGGAAGGGGAAGGGACAGAAAGGAAAGGAAGGAATAATATATTTATAAAGTAAAAGTAGTTGAGAAATAATTACCAGGAAATAAAAATTTAAATTATGTCTTAAGTGAAACTGTTGAAAAAATACAGTAGAGTTGTCAAGAAGAATCACACCACTAAGATCCCAGGAAGCAAAGTAAAGACAAAAAAGCAAAGCCAGGTGAGGTGGCACAGGTCTGTAATCCTAGCACTCAGGAGGCTGAGGCAGGGGCACTGCTATGAGTTTGAAGACAGCCTGGGCTACATAGTGAGTTCAAAGCCAGCCTAAATTATATAAGGAGACCCTGTCTCAAATACCATCCCCCCTACAAAAAAAAAGATAGAAATTACAGGGAAATTTCTAACATCTACTAAATAGCAGAAGAGAACATTTTGACATCCTAACAGATCTGTCAAAAGATTAAATGGCAGGGGATGGTGACGCACACCTGTGATCCCAGCAATCTGAGAGGTAGAAGGATGGCTTGGGCTACAGAGTGAGTTCAAGACCAGTCTGGACTACATGGCAAGGCTGTGTCAAAGAAAAAAAATAAAAATAGAAAAAAAAGGACAAAATGAGAACGTCTCCTAAAGCAAATCCACCAAACCACAGGAAGCTAAAGTATACTGTATAAGATAAAAAAGTCTAACCCAGGGCCCCCCACCCCAATACTGGAGAGTGAACCCAGGGCCTTCACACTGAGCTACATCTCAAGCAGCTTATTTTTCATGTAGAGACGAGGTCTTGCTAAGTCACTAAGTTGTCCAGGCTGGGCTCACACTTTATCTTCCTATCTCAGCCTCCCAGAGTGCTGGGATTACAGGTATGAGTCGCCACGCCCAGCTATGTCAACTTTATGGTGCGTTTCAAACATGAGAGCCAATGAACATCATGTGCTCATAAAACGGATTTTTTTGGCCTAAAAATGGCACATATAGGAAACAAAATTGCATTAAACCTCTAGAAAACCAATTTTTTCTACCAGTTTATTGACCAGAATGGACTCTTTTTCTCCCTCCTTTTTTTTGTACTGGGGATTGAACTCAGGACCTCTCACTTGCCAGGCAGGCACTGTGATGCTGAGCTACACACCTGGCCCCTCTCCTATTTTTTATGCTGAGACTCTTCCTCTCATTTATATATATATATGTGTGTGTATAGGTATATATAAAAAACAATTTATAGCACTACTATCTTCTAGTCTTTTTATTCTATGACTGTTGACATATCTGAAACCAATTATACACACACACAATTGTATATTATTCTTCTAGCTTAACAAAACAAGTATTTTCCAATGTTCCAGTAAATTCTTTGTAAATTCTGTTTGTTTTTTTCTTTTTTTTTTTTTTTTGGTACCAGGGATTGAACTCAGGTCCTTGTGTTTTCAAGGCAGGTGGCAAAACCACTGAGCTAAATCCCTGGCCCATCTGTTCGTTTTTTTGAGACAAGGTCTTTCCTGTGCCACCATGCCTGGCTTCTTTGTGAACATTTTAATAACTATACAGTAGTGGTCCATTAATATTTATCAATTTATAGTCAACATTCCCAAGCTTGTGTCTTTATTTAAACATACACACAAACATACTGGGGATTGGATCCAGGAGCCCATTACCACTGAGCTGGATCCTGGGCCCTTTTTATTTTACATCGAGACAGGGTCTTGCTAACCTGCCTCAAGCCTATGAGCCTCCTGCCTCGGCCCTTGAGTATCTGGAATCACAGTGCTACCTTGGTTCACAAACTTAATTCTTTCCACGTTCCTGGTCTCAGAATTCTTTCTACAAGTCTGGCAGTTTGGTTGCACCCAGAATCATGGAATGAATTAAGTTTGTGAACTAAGGTGGCACTGTACAGGCGTTTGCTACTGTGTCCATCTTCCAAGCGCAATTTTATTCATAAAGTTTTCAAATATTCCTGTTAAAGCTATTATTAGATATGTTTTTTGGGTATGTCATCTTTCTTTTGTTCAGTACTGGGGATTGAACCCAGGGCCTTCACAATGAGCTACATCTCCCGGTTTTTAAAAAAGTTGTTTGTACTTTAGAGACAGCAATCTAAATAAATTGAACTGTCCAGGCTGTCCTAAATTTTTTTTTTTTTTGTACCAGGGATCAAATTTAGGTCCTTGCGCTTGTGGGGCAGGCGCTGGAACCACTGAGCTAAATCCTTGGCCTGCCCTAAATTTTTTTTTTTGGTAGCAGCGATCGAACTTGGGTCCTTGCGCTTTTAAAACAGGCGGTCTAACCACTGAGCTAAATCCCCAGCTCTCCTGCCCTAAATTTTTAATCCTCCTGCTTCAATCTCTCGGGGTGCTGGGATTACAGGTGTGCACTATCATTCCTGGCTAGCTCTTTTTATTTCTTTGCGATAGTATCTTGCTAAATTGCTCAAGATGAACTTGAACTACAATCTTCCTGCTTCAGTCTCCCAAAGTGCTGGGATTACAGGTATGCACCACTGAACTTGGCTATTTTTTTGAGACAGCATCTCGCTATGCAGCCCAAACTGGCCTTGAACTTGTGGTGATCCTCTTGCCTCAGCCTCCTGAGTGCTGGGATTACAGATGTGTACCACCATGCTCCAGAGTTACTTACATTTTTAAAGGCATTTAACCACTCTGTCTGGATTTTCAAATTCATAACTGTATTATCCTTTTCTTACGTCTACAATACCTGTAATAATGTCCAGCTTTTACATTTCTAATACCGTTTATATTTGTCATTTTTCTTTTGTCTGTATCAATCTGAAATTTTAAAAAATTTCATTGTTTTCTCAAAGAACCAATGTTTCCTTTGTTGAATTCTTTTACTGTATATATGTTTGACTTTATGACCAGTTTTTTCTCCTTATTAAGAGTCAAACATACCATAAAATTCACTTTTTTTTTGAGATAGGGTCTCACTGTGTAACCTAGACTCGCCTCAAGCTCACTCAAGGTTCTCCTGCCTCTGCTTTTCTGCTGCTGGGATTACAGCATGTACCACCACACCCAGCTAGACCATTTCTAAGTTTACAGTTCAGGGCCATTAAATACCTTCAAAGTATTGTGGAGATACCACCAGTATCCTATCTCCATAACTCCGCTCATTGTGCACAACAGAAACTTTATATTCACTATATAATAATTCCTCCTTCCCTTCTTCTACCCCAGCCACTGACAATCACCATCCTACTTTCTGTCTCTAAGAGCTAGAGGTGCCTCATCACACATTTCTTTTTTATTTTATTAATTTCTGGTTTTATTTTGTTTTACAGACAGGTCTTGCTCTGTACTGCAGTTTGGCCTTGAATCCACAGGTATGTGCCACAATGACCAGTATAGTCTCTGCTCTCTGTCTTTCTTTTTTTCTTTCTTCGTTTTTTTTTTGTTTTTTTTTTGGTACTGGGGATCAAACTTGGGACCTTGTTCTTGCAAGGCAGGTGGCGGAACCACTGAGCTAAATCCCCAGGCCTTTTCTTCGTTTTTTTGAGACACGGTCTCACTATGTAGCCCATGCTGGGCTCAAACTCACAGTGATCCTCCTGCCTCAGCCTCCCAAGTGCTGGGATTACAAGCATGCACCACCATGCCCAGCCTAAATAATTAAAAAAAATTTATTAGTGTATGTTTGTGATACATCATTAATTTTTGGAGTACTTCTATGTTCCATTATAAGTGCTTTACATATATATTAGCCTATGTAATGCTCACAACATCCTAAGAGACAAGCTGTATTACTATTCTTCAATTACCAGTAAAAAACCCTTAAGAACAAATAAGTTAAATAAGTACTCTTTTTCTTTTTTTTTTTT